CCCCAAAACCCCAAAACCCCAAAACCCCATGAGTTATGTGTTAAGTACTAAATGTTAAATGCGCTATCTCTAATATCTTTAAAAATACTACCTTGTATTTAATAAGTCAAATCATTATTATCTTCTTGACAATTTGAATGATTTCCAAATCTATTAAATCTTAAATTTCCTATTCAAGTACAAATAATTATTAAATGGAAAGACAACAGAAAGAGTGGAACTAATTAAAGCACGAACCTTCAAAGAGGACTGATGTTTATAATTTAATCAGAAGTGTTTTGGAAAAGGACTTGAAGGTGCCTGCTGATCTCAAAAAACCACTAATCAACCTTGGTCTAGGTAAAAACCATAGTTATTAAATTTAATAGGTGAGCCTAGTAAGGCTAATGGCTTTGAGCTACCCGAAGTTATTAACGAAGCTATGATTGAATCAATAAAAGGAGAAACTGCTAACGGCTATACAATGTCAAGTGGCACTCTTGATGCAAGAAAAGCAATCGTTAAAAAGTAAAGAACTATTCAATCAATACTAATTTTCTTAGGTTTTCCAATCCAGAGTTTCCTTTCACTGTGGACGATGTGGTTCTAAGTTTCGGTTGTTCAGGCGCAATTTATAATGCTGTATCCGCACTTTGTGAGGAGGGTGATAACATCTTGGTGCCTAGACCAGGATTCCCATTGTGTTATCCAATCTCTCAAAATTTAAACATCAATCTCAAATACTATGATCTTCTTGTAAGCATTACAATTGTCCTCATCATATTTATTAGCCCGAATAAGGATGGGAGATCGATTTGAATTCTTTAAAATCTCAAATTGATGAGAATACAAAAGCTATTTTGGTAAATAATCCCTCAAACCCCTGCGGATCTTGCTTTACCAAGGCACACTCTCTAGAAATTCTAGCAGTGGCTAACGAGTACAAAGTTCCAATTATTTCTGACGAAGTATACTATGGCCTTGCCTATGGCGAGGGATCAGAATTCAACTCTTTTGGAAATCTAACTAAAGATGTACCCATCATCGTAAGTCCACATCACCTTTTATAATTGATATAGTGCTGCAGTTCAATCTCTAAAATCTATTGTCTGCCAGGATGGAGACTTGGATGGAGTATTGTATATAATAATCATGGATATTTCGACCACGTCATTCAGAATCTACACAAACATGCCATGATTCAGCTTCATCCCAACTCCCTTGTTTAATAGGCATTACCTCGTATCTTAGGCGAGGTTGGTGAGGATCACTTTACCACTTTGAAAAATAAATTGAAGGAGGCAGCTGAATGTGCTTTCAATAGACTCTCCTAAATAAGAGGATTACAACCAATTAAGCCATCTGCTGCTATGTACATGATGATTAAGATTAGTCTCGATGAATTTTGCGACATCGAAGATGATGTAGATTTCTGTAAGAAAATGCTTCACGAAGAGAGTATCCTTGCATTCCCGGCTCAATGTTTCTTTGCCAAGGACGCATTTAGAATTGTTATTTGCCAATCAACTAAGAACATTGAAGAGTTTGCAGATAGATTATAAGATTTCTGCCAAGCTCATTATAAGAGAACAGCTCCACTTGTTCAAGATTAATGAAAAAATTTAAAGACGACTTAACTTCATCGAATAGATGATATCTTAACTTTCCATATATAAAGTCTATGAGGAAAGTCTTAAACACCCACGATATTTTAATTATCAATAAGATCTTAACTCGCTCAATTTTCTTTAAATTCCACTATTCGGGGTTTTGGGGTTTTGGGGTTTTGGGG